AAATTAATGTTGGGATGCCCTTTTTACCTTCAAAGACTAACATGTTGAAGGTAAAATCATTAATTGTAAGTTTTCCCCCCACATTGTTTCCAAACTCTGAATTTTTCTCCAGGCATACATTTTTGTAGACTATGGTAGTGGCCAGTTCACTAGGTACTGGAAGTGTAAGCCTGACACAGCAGATTTCACTGACACATATAGATACAGGGTGAGGCAGCATAACTTCCTTTTTTCAAAACTTAATAAAACCTATTGTATGAATCAGAAATTTTTATTTTTTTTATAATGTAGGCGCATACCTGAAGTTTTGTTTTACATAGTTTTGAAAATCAAATTAGGTAGGTGACGTCCCTCATTCTCCATACACTGAGTAAACCGATTTCTGGCGTTTGTCATGACTCTTGCCAGCATAGCAGGCGTTATGTTGGCAATTTCTTCCTGGATGTTGGTCTTCAAATCTTGTAGTATCCTTGGACAGTTCACATAAACACGGGATTTCAAAAAACCCCATAGAAAAAAAATCACAAGGGGCCAAATCTGGAGAGCGGGCTGGCCACTCTAAATCCGCTCGAAAAGTAGGCCTCAAAGGCAAAAGCCTCACTGTAGGCCTCACTGTTCCAACGCATGATGGCGACTGAACTGTGTCAGGACAAAACTTTATACCCCCGCCTCTCGAACGAGACCACTAGCGCTCCGCTACATCTTCAACCAACTGAATGGCACACATTTTTAAAAAGGAAGTTATGCTGCCTCACCCTGTATATGCAAAAATTCTAAAAACAAGTCTCAAAGGACATGAAATCCAAGAGGTATGTAGGTCTGTGACATCTTCATTCAAAACCTAAGCATATGCAAGATAAACATAGCCATTGTTCACAACATTAAACTAAAATTAAACTTCTTAGCTTGACTATACTACTTGAACATGTGTAGAATGATGATAAATACTACATTTTCAAAAAGGAATTTTATTTTGAAGTCGGCACTGTTGTTGTTGTGGAATAGTAATTTCCAGAAATGTAGCTGAATGCCCTGAAGACCATTGGTTTCTTGCTGGTTTGTGAAAGTTCTGCTTCTAGTAACATTGTTCTATCCTTTTTGGCTTGTTCAAATAGTTGAGAGCCTTGTGTTGGAGTCAGCCATCTTTGGATGCCTGTGCCCACTGACCTCTAGTTTGCTTGTTGTTTGTCTGCATTGTAACCATTTTGTTTTCTCTCTTCATTAACCCATGTTTTTGTTTATGGACAAGTATTGCACAAGGATATCTTCATGATTGCTGAGTTCATATCCATGGTTTCACTTACCTGTACCTGTGAAAAATTCCTCATTAGGAATTTCTAGGTTCCCAAGTGTGACTCTATTGTATTATGATGATTCTTTGGTATGCTGGGAATTTAATGGCATTCAGCCATATCCACAGGTTTTGGTAACTGCGATCTTGCCAGAACCGTATCTCCCACAAATATAGGTGTCTTGCTGAGTATGTTTTACAAAGAAGGCTGAGCTTGTTTCCTTTTCCTGCTGGAGCCTATGGGGAGGCATGGGTTAGATATCTGTTCTGCTTCTGTCTTGCCAATAGATTACTCTACATGGCAAATCTGTTTTTCATAACACTTCATTGATGAATGATGGGCTGTATAAAGTTGGAGTGGAACAGGACATTTATGTGTGTTTAGGGGTAAAGGATTGTAGGGGAACAAAAGACCAAAGCCCATTGTGCTGTGGTTAGATCACTAGATTGTGCTGTGACTAGGCTGCGGTTTAGTTATATAAGTTGGTTTGGGAAACTGGCGGAGTGAGTGGGGGCATTTCCTACTGTGATTGCAAGCCACTGGGATATGCTTGGAGCAATTGGAAGTGATGTCACTTCACTTTTATGTTTTGTTTGGGTTGTTGTTTTTTTGGCCAAAATCCCCCCTCCATACTTTTATTTTCAGAGCTGCGGGAGCTGTGTAGGAGGTAGTAGAAACTGGCAACAGGCTGGAACCCTAGGAAAGAACTTGGCAGAATTCTGCATAGCACCACTTCACACTGCAATTTTTGTTATGGCCATTTCTAAAGTTATGTTCAGTTCCCTTGAAAAAAATCTGCACTGTGAATCTTGACAAACATTTCTAGATTATATTTCTAGAACAACCACTAAACTACCAAAACATTGTGTCCTTTTCCTTTCCCCCAAATTCCAGTTATACCAAATGGGTTTGTCATTTGTGTATCTGGCACAATCAGCACTGCCTGGGGGCCTTTCCACACTACTCTGGGATCAAGATTTGATCCCAGATTATCTGCTTTAAACAGAACTATATGAGTCCCCTTACACACCGCTGAATAAAATCCCACATGATCTGCTTTGAACTGGAATATATGGCAGTGTGGACTCAGATAACCCAGTTCAAAGCAGATATTGTGAGATTTTCTGCCTTGATATTCTGGTTGTGTGCAAGGGTACTGAATCCCCACTGCCAGATAGTCTGGGATAAACAGATAATCTGGGATCAGAGCCTGGGATAAAAGGGGCAGCATGGAAGGGCCCTGTGTCACATCCTTACTATTTGGAACAGTTCAGACAAACAGAGTTTTTTATTCTTTTGAAAGAGAAAACTAAAACATGAAGCATGGGGGGATGTGGGTAGAGCACATTTTAGCACACATTGTTCTGTTGCTAGTTCAGTTCTTAAAGCAAAAGTCCTATGCTCCAAGGGCGCAGCCAGGTAGCCCCTTTATTGTGGTAACTCCCACAATAAAGAAGAGGCTGTCCAGAGGACGTCCTGGACAATCCCGAATTAATTCGGTACAAACCAGGAAAACACTGGTTTGTAGCAAATTAATTTATTCCATGCCTTTTTGGAAGGTGCAGGATAATCCCACTATTTCCGGTGTCTGGACTGCAGTCTAGACACCATTCCCATAGTTTTCCGGATTCTGTGGGAATACCACCCCCCCCCTCCCCCAAGGCCCCCAAACCCCTCTGAAAAGTAAAGAAAACTTACCCGGCCTCCATTGGAGTCTTGGAGCAGCTCTCCCAGCACGAAGTAATGACACACCAGGAGAGCACAGAGGTGGAAAATCGCCCCCCCCCCCGCTCTCCTGGCACATCATTTTTATGCGCCAAAAGAACTGCTGCAAGACTGTAACGGGGGCTGGGTAAGTTTTCTTTACTTTTCAGAGGGGTTTGGGGGAGGAGGAGGGTCCCCAGATGTTCTGCCAGGCTAGTCCTGGACACTTACCCCAGAAAGTGTGCGCTTTCTGCGGTGGGTGTAGACAGGCCCCCAGGATCATCCACGTTTTTAAAATGCAAATGATCCTGGGATAAAGGACTGTCTGGAACTGCCCCAAGAGCTGTATCTCATAATGCATAGGAAGACAGAAGAAATTAGAGGATGGGGAACTTCTCTGTGAACCTTCCTAGGATAATAACCAAGACTTTACGTGTGGAGCATACCCAGATTTGACACTTTGGCATCTCAAAATGCACATCTGTAACTGTTTGCCAACCTCCAATATGCATTGGCAATACTTCTGTGGAGAAATGTTGTGTGGGCCAAAAGTAAAATGGATGGTGAGTCCGTAATTTTGGTAGCATTTACTTTCCAGCACAAGTGCCTTATCTGTGAAATAATAATGATAATTAAACTATGTACCTTAATGAAAAATACACAATTTTACCAATATTTGAAGTTTATATGAATACTAGTAGTAATCCCAAAATTTAACTGGAAAGGACAACAACAGTATTCTTTTCCAGCAGTTCTTATTTGCATTGCTATTATCACTGGTCAAATAAGTCTGCTATTATAAATAGTACTTGTAATTATACAGAAGAGGTGCTACCTAACTGGCATTGCCACTCTAAATCAAGGTTGGTTTCCAGTCTGTATCAGAAGAAACTATGACAAAATGCATATCAGTCGGGTAGGTTTGTAGCATGGATAGGCCAGTATAGATAGAGCCAGCCGGGTGTTGTGGTTTGAGTGACTTTGAGAGATCACATTCTCAGTCAGCCATGGAAACCCTTCAGATAACCTTGGGCAGGCTGCACTCTCTCAGCCTAAGAGAAAAGCAGTGATGAGCCTCCTTGAGCAAATCATGCAAAAAGAAATTGTGATAGGATCACCATAAAGTCAGAAATAACTTGAAGGCATACAGCATCAACTTCCTGGAAATGATAAAGATTGCCTTTAGCACGTCTTAAATGTACTTTCTTTGGAACTTTTCAAGCAGTCTGGATGCCAAAACAGTGTGCCAAAATTGGCTTGAGAAAAGGCTGTCCTGGGATAATGAATTAGGTAAGTGTAGAAACTTGATACATGAACATGCAGAGTGCAATGAGGCAAACTGAGCACTTTAGGAAAGAAAAAGACAAGTTCTGCTAATGAGAAAGAGATGGAGTTGAAAAGTGGCCAGAATGGGGGGGAAAGCAAAGCAATGGCAACCATTTGCTCAAAAGCTTCCAAGAGTGAAAGGTTTTATTTGTCAGGAGGCAGTTTGATTCACACTAATTTTTCACAAGATTAGGACCATAGTGGGTAAAAGACTGGTTGTCACACAATTAAGCCCCACCTAAGACTATCTGAAAGCATTTGTGTATCCAAATGTTTTGTACTATTATTTTTATCACCACCATCATCATTTTATGTCCCCACTTACCTTTCATGACCGAGATCCAAAGCTACAATTCTCATCAACACCACTCAGCATGCCATGATAAGGAGTTGGGAATATTGCTATCCCAAACACCTGAGAGTCTGAAGCTTTTAAAGTCCCATTGAAATCAGTGGGGTTAAAGTCAACTATAATTAATTCTCCATTGATGCTCTCAAAGGGACCAAGACCTAACAGTAGCTGAACCGGAGTGCATTAGGCTACAAGAGCCATAACAATTTCAGATTATTTATAATTTTAATAACTTATAAAAGCATATTACACATTTTAAGTCAGATCAAGAGCCTATTGATAGAAGTTTAAAATGATAGACAAATCAATAAAATTCTGGAACAAAATAACTTTTTCAATTGTCTTTTAATGAAAAAAAATACTGTGTGAATAGAAATGGAAGTATAACAAAGAGTTTTCAGCTGATTTAGGAAAACACAGTTATCACTAGTAGACGAAAGAAGAAGTACAGCAATTTTTGTTTTAGGGCTTTTTTCTCCAAGGAAAATTCAAAACAAGGATATAGGTAGGCTAATTATATTCTGATACCATAGACCTAAACACATTACCCCAAAGGAAAGCTACTTAGGCCCCATCTTCACTGCTATATACAATTTCCGAATGCATTTTAATTGCATTGAAGTGGATTACACGAGTCTACACTGCCATATTATTCACTTCAATTCAGTGCAACTGCATTCTGAAGCTGCATTATATAGCAGTGTAGATGAGGCTTTACTTTCAAGAGATTTGTTTGGGACTGGAAACCATGCACTCCAAAGCATTGGCCATGATAGTATCCATATTAGGAATTCCACATCCAAATTTTAACAGTTTTGATCCTAGCCTCTTCTCTTAGGAATAAGCTCACTGAAAATTAGCAGAATTCATTCATTAATTTAATTAAGTGTATGCAGAATTCTTGTTTGGGGTTGGGGAGTGCTACCGAATATACTCACATATAAGTTGACCTCGTTTATAAGTCAAGGGCAGGTTTTGGGGCCAAACTTTTGGTGTGACCCTTGGATAAGTTGAGAAGAAAGCACCAGAACCACCCCAGCTACCTGCAGCATTTTTCCAGCCAAGGATTCAGAAAGGCTAGAAGCGGTGCTGCAGTGGAGAGACTAGAGGAATCAGTGTGTCTGAGTTTTATAGCTGTAAAAATGTGGTTCAGAAAAAATCGGTTCCAAGCACAACTACATATCTAGCAGGCTGAGTGCTATTTTTAAGCAGACCTTTATGTTCAATCATATGGTAGAACAGTGGTTGGAAGTGGTGTGCTGTGGGGGTGATCTTGTATGTTTTTTCATTAAATATTTTTTTAAAAAATTAAACTGTTTTAAAATATCTGCTTTAAACAGCGCTGTTGTTTAATTGTTTGTTTAGCTTTTGTAATATAAGATTTTAAATTATTATAAGAGGCCTTGGGTTCCCAGAATGGAAGAAAGGTGGAGTATAAAGTAAGTGAATGAATGTATGAATCCTTAAAAAGTTACAGCCAAGGTCCCATGTGAAAAATCGGACTGGGCTGGCTTCTGTGTGTGGTTTCAGTGTTCACGCTGCATGAATTCACAGTTAAGAATCTATGAACTTGGCTAGTCAACATAAAGATGCCCTGTACAGGAAAGGCCGGGATTTCAATCTAATTTGCTTCTATTACCATATTAAGGTTATGGTTCCTTCCTTTAGGAAGGAAATCATGATGTTATAATAAAAACAGAACTCTACCAACCCCACCTTGAAAAGATTGCAATGCCAGTCCATAATTTTAAACAAACTAATTTCCAGAGTAATTCAACATCAATGGGACTTTTTTTCAAGGGGAAATTTAAGAACAAGGAAAGGTCACTCACTTTTTTTTAACACATTATAGTTATATAAAAGAATTACCAATTCATGGTGCAGTCTTCTACAGACACAACCAGGTGTACACACTCTAAAATGTGTATACAATGGCTATTTAAAGAAAGTGATTCAGGTGCCCTGTTACTGGTATTCCACTGTTATTTAGTGGACAATGGTCCTTTGGCATACAATGCCAGATAGGTGAAGTAAAAAAAAATCTGTAGCCAAATGTGGGAAAGGAAGGGTACTCCAATGTTTCTTGCAATAATGTTGCTCCCACTGGATGACTTAATACTGCCCTATGCATCACAACACTATTCATATTGCTTTTGAGTGTGCTTGGATCATTTTCAAACTATTGGGAATATTTTTTAGAAAAGAAATCAGATTCATTTCTATGTTCAAAGGGGATAGATGAGCCTCCAATTATGCGACCCAAAATGAAATATCCATTATATAACCATACAATAACCATATTAAGCTAGGGACTGGCAGGCATTAAATCAAATTTAGATGTGTACATGTTCTATGTCTAAAGTGTCCCAGCCTTTTACAGGGAACCTTTGAGGAAAGGAGGAAATTTGCCCAACATAAAAAAGACTCTAGATTGATCTTGGCCCAGATAGCTTCATCCAAAGTTATGATGATCCCTGTCTTTTTTGATATTGTATTCTAAGTTTCTCCAGCTGTTCAACACATTGTGTCTGGGCTAAGCTCAATGTCCGGTTCTCTTCTGTCAGGTCTGAATATTCCTTTGTTAGCCGAGCAGCAACCATGCTTTCCTTCTCAGCTTGATCTAGCCTAATGATCAGCTCCCTTCTGAAAAAGGAAAAGAAACAATAAAAGTTTAAAGGCACAATTTAATGTTCCAGGGTAGTATCACAGGTTGATGACATATGGATGCTTCAGCCTAGCTCTAAAATACTATGAACAGAAGGAGAAAATGTATTCATGCTAGTCTGTCAACTCTCCAGCAAAGCCAAGGAAGAAAAAGCAGTTTGTTTTGTGGGAGGAGGTCACAAATAAAAATGAGTTGGTCCTTAAAACAACCCAACAAATTCAGCCAAATCTTTCTCAGATACCTTAGGGATGTAGCTATTTGGGAAGTTATCCCCCAGTAAGAATTCTGCCACCCCATTAAACATTCCTTTACTACCACCCTTGTTAAGGTGCACTGAAATAACATAAAATGTTCATTGAATATTTACGTTTATGCATCCAAAGGAAAGGGGCTGGCAAAGAGAATGGAATCACAACAAATAGAAGGGTTCTAGGTGTGAATGATTTTCAGTATTTTCCTTTTTGCAATGCTAGAAATTTGAGGACTGAGAAAAAACTTCCTTCATTACGCCCACCTGCAGGTGTATCTCTGAGACATCTCCAGGCTCATTTCTGGGAAACATTAATGCAAAGTGGTGTTCAGGAAATTTTAGCATGCTTAGAATCATGAGAGCTGAAAGAGGTCATCCAGTCTAAGCCCGTGCCATGCAGGGAAAACTCAATCAAAGCACTTCCAACAAATGGCCATCCAACATCTGTTTAAAAACCTTCAAAGGAGGAGATTCTACCATGCTAGGAAGCACAATATTATGCTGTCAAACAGCTGTTACCATCACAAAGTTCTTCCTAATATTTAGGTGGAATCTCTTTTCCTCTAGTGTGAATCCATTGCTCCCTATTCTAGTCTCTGGAGCTGCAGAAAACAAGCTTGCCCGCTCCTCAGTGCGACATCCTTTCAAACATTGAAACATGGCTGTCATGCTCCTCTCAGCCTTTTTTTATCCAAGCTGAAAACACACAGCTTACTCAGCCATTCCTTATAGGGCAGTGGTTGCCAGCCTTTAGTCCTCCAAGTGTTTTGGACTTCAGCTCCCACAATTCCTAACAGCTGGTAAACTGGCTGGGATTTCTGTGAGTTGGAAGTACAAAACAACTGGAAGACCAAAGGTTAGGAATCACTGTTGTAGGTTTCCAAACTTTTGATCCTTTTGGTCACCCTACTTTGGACATGTCTCTGCTTGTCAGTATTCCTCTTGAATTGTGGTGCCCAGAACTAGACACAGCATTCCAAGTGAAGTCTGGCCAAAGCTAAATAGAGTGCCACTGTTACTTGCCTCAATACTTTACTCCTACTGATGCAGCCTAGAATCACATTTGGGGTTTTTAGCTACTGCTTGTAATGGAAAAACATTCTGATTCCCAAAGGGAGAGGAGGCAAATCTCACAAAGCATATTGTATATATTTTGATGGGTTGTGGGGTTAGAAAAATAAAGAAATCAGTTATTTGTATTCACTTTACTGTTATCTTTCTAGGTGTTCTTTTTTAACTTGGTAGTTTGATTTAGCCCTGCTGCACACTCATAATAATTCAGCCAGACTACACTTGCTATTATTGGAAATAGTCACAGAAACTTTGTGGTGGGGCAGGAAGGAGTAGCTCTTGTGTCTAGTCTATTTTTATCCATGTCATAGAAGACCAAAGCCAAATGCTCATAAATTTTATGGTGATAGATTGATAGTGTGACAGATAGCAGTGGGTCTTGACAAATCTCACCAATGAATCTGCAGTTCTTAACCAACACAGACAGGTGAAGCATCATCTATATAGGAAGACAAAGCTAAATATCTAGGGCTGTGCTTACATGAACTCTGATTAAAGAACACTGTGCTGTGTTCGGAGCCAGCTGGACATAACTGACTGCCATCAAGATAGTTATCATAACAAGAATTGCTACAGAGTGAACATCTAGGTCCTCACTGTGATCTTTCACAATAATAACTGTTTCGTGTGCGATTTGTCAATGGTGCTTCATAAATTGTGGGATTCTATCTATGATGTGAGTTCCCATTCCCCCCCAACTCCGGGACAAGACAGTTTGGAGCAAACAAATGAAAAAAAATTGGCTCAAATTTGGCACAAATTCTCACTGAAAGTATGCATTTTTTTAAAAAAAAGAGTGATTTGTGTTATATAATTGCAGTAGCCAGGAGGAATTCAAGTATGTGCTGTTGTGAGTATAGTGGATTATATTCCTCAATGAAAGCATTGCCTTGATATGTCAAAACCTCAGGCAACTAGCTTTATCCAATGAGATGTTCCTCTTTTCCTTGTCCTAGTTCCCTTGACATTCAGTGATCATTTATCTCTACTGCCATCAGCAGAAGTCCTTCTGTTTTTGGCTCATTAAATGCCCCCAACATTTAAGCTCTTTCTGAAGGGATTGTGGCATATGCCATATGGTATTTGTCCCTTAGGGTAATCTTTACATATCAGTATAGTGTAAATATAGTGTGAAATTTCCAGCTTGAGAGCTCTGGGCTGAAATTCATCCAAAAAATGGCTGGAATGGTTTCCGGATTTCTTATGCTATATAGTAGTATAATAAATTGCAAAAAACAAAACAAAAAAACAAACAAATCTGTGATAGTTCCGTTATACACATCCACTTGCTCCCAAACTGACTTGTACTGAGGAAAATCTAGTTGGTTTACTCGGTTAAATAGCCACATCTATTTCTATGTATACATCCATGTGATGAGTGATGTTGGTTGTATTTGTGCATATACATATGTGACAGAAAGATCTGAAGCCTTAGCCTACTTGATCATGACTTCAAGGCTTCAGGACAAATGGTTGTTCAAACAAGCATACACATACTGCTTCAGAATGACAATGATCAATGTTGAATATATTTTCCATCACCTAAATCTAAATCTCTGGGACGTCATCACACTTAAATATTGTTTCTTCTACCCACAGAATTCTGGGATTTGTAGTTTAGTGAGGCTGTTAAAAGCTCCTCCCTAAACTACAAACCCCAGAATTCTGCAGGAGGCAAAAACCGGATTTAAAGTGGATTCATTCTCTCGTGTGATAAAGGGTGGCGTTGTAGATAAAGATCATCAAAAACAAATTGACAAAATACCATTTTCTCCAGCTATATACAGTACAAGGTGAAATACATTTTGCTATATTTTCCTTCAAATTCAGGCCATTGCAAATTCATTATCATTACACATGCACATAGCAGTTAGGTGGCCAAAATTAAACTATCATTGAGAAATAAAAGTATTTTATTCCAGACTAAGTGAAGAATTCAAAGTTTTTCACAAAACTACAAAACCTAGTATTCCATAGGTTTTATGGAATATGGAAGAGGTATCAAATTGTGATAATTATGTAGTGTGGCTACAATTGAGGATTATGTCAACTGTCCCAGGGCCTGTTCATGCTACGTTATTATAGTATGATTCTACTTTGCTGTTAGAATCCAGGGATTTAAAAGCTAGGGAGATATACTTAGAATACTCTGTTAGAGACAACTCTTGTGTCCACCAATTTATAACTCAAAACTTCTATAGGATGTAGTCATAGCAGATAAAGTGAAATCGTGTGTTATATTGTATGAAAAGATCCCTGACCCGAGGAAATACAGAAGACTAGAAACCATCAGTAATCAATAACCTCAGCTTAATCCCTTCCAGAGGACCATCAAAACCTTAAAAGCTTACTTTCATAGGCTACAGCTCCCAGAATCCTCCAGCCAGAAGGGGAAATAAGTTTTCCAAGTTTTTGCTAAGTTTTTTTCTGATTTAATACCATCTATAGTTTCCTTCCTTCTGCTTATAGATTCAAACTCTTGAGTTTAACCTGAGTTTTGTAATGTGCACTTTACTTCCCTAGATCCAAATATTAATCTAGTTTTCTAAAGCCCTTCCAAGATCAAAAGTATGGTAAATAATGAGAAATGCTCTTTAGAGCTCTGCAATGCAGACTCAAGACAAATTGGGAAGTAACACATTTAGTCAAAGAAAAAAAGAAGGCATCCATTAAATATATGCACATGCTTATTTCAAAAGCAGGATTAGTTTTTAATTCGCTGGGCTGGTGGGATGAGTTCTTCGTTCAGGTATTACTTTTCTGTGTGTATGTGACAAACAGTGGTTAAATGGGAGGCAGAAAAAATAACTCACTTCCTTTCTTCAAGCAGTGCAATTTCCTTTTTGACTTCATAGTATTCTTCTGCTATTTGGCAATGCTGTTTGAACACCTGCATAGATTCCTCTGAGTCATGGCAAGGGGGCAGGGGCTTCATGAACAAAGGAAAAATAATCTAAGGCTTTTTGCATTCAAGAGGAATCCTCAGAAATAGAATTTAAATCAAGACTAACATCTTAACATAATTAGTTCTTTTGTCGGAATAGCTGGAGTATTATTTCAGTGAAAATAGTCCGTTACAAAAGCAAAGGCAAATATTTCCCATCTTTGCAAAGAAAAGTAACACGAAATCATCTTCTTTCCAGAAACCTTCGTAACTGTCCTTCACAATTTGCAGGGCAACGCTTTTTGTGAAAAAAGAGTTTTTGTTAAAAAGTTATGTTTTAATGAGACTATTTACTTATCCAACAAAGCCTGTCACCAAAGTGGAAATGTTGAACATAGCAATGACAACTTTGTGCTCTACCCATTCAGTTTTCTCAAAAAAGATATTCTCCTTCTCCATTCAGAGTCACACATGATACTATTATACAAGGTTTGATCTTCAACGCAAATTTAGGCAGGGATTAACATTATGAGATAAGGAAAATTATCAGATGGAAATATGTGTTGGGAGTAGAGGGTTAGCAATGCAAAGAATATTCACATATTTTCTCATTGTTGATGAGAAAAAGTATCTGAACACATTAGGACATTCTAGTAATAAATCTGCTTCTACCCCTCCCTGAGACCTTTTTTTTCCATATCCTGAGCCTTTTTAATGAAAATTTCATTGATACAAAAAAAAAAACCACCAAAAAAAGCCCAAACTACTGTATGTGAATAGTATTTCTGTAAAACGAAGGCTGCAACGCAAACTTCTTTTTTTTTTTATAAAAGTCTCAAAGTATGAAAAACCATCAAAATATTGTAAAAACCCCTCAATATCTCAGTGGGATAAAACTTGAAATATTCATTCTTGTAGAAATGAAATTTCATGTAGAAATGAAATTAGTGAAGATTTATATCCTTTGCATGTGCCTAGTGGGAAAGAATGTTTCAGAATCTGTGTCTTCAGATTCTGTTTGTTTCAGCACCAGTTGTATATAAATGTAATGTCATAGTTGTAGATGCAAAACAATTACTTCTGTGAAAAATATTATGGATCTCATTGCATATGATGACTATGAATGTGTTGCTTATTGTACTAGCCACAGGCCATGACATCAAATAATATACAACCTTAATCCTTTAATATCCTTACAGTATATGCTTTCCAATGTAAACATTAACACTGATTCTATAAACTAGCACTTTCAAATTACAGTAGCAGTGACAATCCCCGTAGGCATGATAATAACAATATCAGATATGTATTATCCCAAACTGTTTCCAATTCTACCTAAATGGCCACCCAATAGAACAGTGTCACAGCTTTAAATACCTGGCCGTACCCTTCTCATATGATGACTATATTATAAAGCATCTTGCTCAGATCATGTACCACAAGCTATGGTCCAGGGTGCTGAATTTATTTTTGGATATCTCCTTTAACACTGAGGCCTACAGCCACCATCAACAGTTTTTCGGCCAACAACATCTTGAAATGTTGACTATGTATATTAGAAACTCAGCATTTTCAAGTTGGAATTCCATTAAATGCTGAACAGATGTGCCTGGAGAGGATGATCATGTTACTATTGTTAATGATATTATTGTCATTAACACAACAGTATCACCGTTATCATCAAGCACAAATAATCTCCCCCTCAAATCAAAAATTAATTCTCCTTCACAGCCTACATATCCCATCTAAGTAGTCTAGGATAATGCTAAAAATAAATGCACATGCAAATTACATTTTAAAGAAATCCATATAGAATAGCAGAGCAGAATCCCTGAACATATCCCTGGAACTAGGAATACTACCCTGCTCTAGGTAGAAAAAAATACACTTAAAATGCAGCTCAGACCTGGATCAGTTGATCCTGCTGGTTTAAAACACACCAGTTAAGCAGTCTTCTCACAGGTATGATGACATTGCCAGCCATGCTAAACAATAATTCTGCTGTGGTTATAGAGGCATCCCTGTGTTGTGTTTAGAAGATGCCGCATAGCATGTGAAAAGAAAGACAGTGATAATGGCATTTTAGACTGCTATACTTAAGTACCTTGAGGCTTTCGCATTACCACTCAGTACCAGTTTTCCTTCCCTAGGACTGAAGAAGTCCTCAACCACCTCATCCTCTCATTTTCCTCTGAGGAATCATTGTTATTCTCAACAACTTTAGCTCTTTTTTCAGCCTTCAAGAAGGCATACACCAAGTTCCATCGGAACAGAGCTTGTTCCCCAAAGGTTTAGTTACTGTATTGGGGGGTGGGGTGGGGGGGTGTGCGTGGCAAAATGAGGACAGTGTCCCAAATAAATATTCTGACTGCTCCACAAATAAAAATTTCCTTCAGTTTCCACATTTCTAGTGTTACAAAGAGCAAAACACTAAAAATTGCTTGCTAGGGTCTGCCTTTTTCTCCTTTGGATATCTGAACTGCATTTTTGGATCTTCAGCTAAAGTCGTAAGATGCTGAAATAAAAAATGATTTTTTATGGGGAGATTAGAAATTTTCTGGGTGGGGAGGCAATGTCCTTATCCCGTGGACCTATTATACTCTTGCTCAGTGAATATCTGCAGGAGGGAAGACATCTGTAAATGCCTTCCCTCCTTTGACATAAAATTAATTTATTTTTAAAAATTTGATTAACAGGGCAATCCTGTATATGCCAACTCATAATGGATATAGTCATCTAAAGTCATCTATGGTCATAGGTAGACACCGACATATATGGAAGGAACTGTTACTGCAACAGAAGTCGTAATTTCCCTGAAAGTCCACAGCATAAGACGTTCTTAAGGGAAATACTGATGTTGTCCTGTTATTTATAACTGTGGAAATTCGGGGGATTAAAATGATACTGATTGACTAAAAACCTTCTGTGTTCTACAAGAGGTAAGAATCGAGAATCACATTGGTTTCGTGCAGATGAGTCTGGAATATCCCAATTGGAAATGTCCTTCAACAGTCTACTGCTCTAACAATGCAATCCTGTCCATGTATGGTCAAAGGTAAGTTCCAGGTTGTACTCCCAAATGAATTTTTACATGATTACAGCTTAGGTTTAGTAAATAAAAGTATGTCAGCACTCCCTGTTTGATCTATGGCAAGATTTAATGAAGTTATTTTGGTAGGATGTTTTCAGTCTTGTTGATTGAACACTATCCCAATTTAGCCCAAACCCTGTGCTCACATTTCGCCCATAACTATAAACTGTGTGCAGCAGTTCAAAATAGGTATTCCAGAAATAATTAAGCAAACATTTCAAAGTACAGATTTTTTTTTAAAAAAAGAGAGCTTAAGTTAGTTCATCTATTGCTCAGTTAAATGGTAACCAAAATTCCTCTGATATAAAAGAGCAGTTATTTTTATTCTTGCACCCTCTTTTTAGACTCTTCTATTTGTGGAAAGAAGTGCTTGGAGTCACTGTACAGGGAGTGTCAGCATACATTCACACTTGTGTTCCCTTTTTAAAAATGGTACCATATGGTGACAAAAAAACTAGATAAAAAAAGGCAAATTAAGCTATTCAGATAATCATAATTATCAATTATTACCCGCCTCTCCTCATGACTCAGGGCTGGGTACAATATGGTTAAAAGATGCAGATAAAATATAGTACTATTAAAATGCATTTATTAAAGAACTCTTAACAAAGACAAACACAAATACTAATAAAATGTAGGTTAAAATTCAGACTTTAAAATTGACCATAAGCACCATTCCCAGCATGAAGAGAGGAGGTGAAGAGAGTTGAAGAGATAGCAAAAAGAGAAATGGGATCAGGAGGACACATTCATACTGAATAAAAATACCAGAAAGTCTCAGATTTTGTGCTTGTTCTTTCTAATTGTATTTTGGTGATCCATATGCATATTATTTATTACAGAATATTTTCCACCAGCTCCAGATATCATCACACCAGCCCCTTAAATCAATTTATTTTAACCCAGTAAAAAAATTGGAAAGGAATAAAATCTGGAACTTTTAAATGAGTCTGTATGTGTTTATTACTGTATTTACTTCAATCTAATGCTCACCTGTTTTGGCTAAATGACCGTGCCAAAATTAGAGTGCGCCTTAGATTCGTGCCATAGGGTAATCTTAGTGCTGAGCCAAATCAGTAGGGGAAGATGCTTCAGGAGCACCTGGAGCTCCTATTTGAGGGATGTCATCTCTAATTTAATTGTCATAGCTCATGCAATCCTGGGATTTGTAGTCTGGTGAGGTATCCACACTCTTTGGCAGAGAAGGCTCAAAGCTTTGTACAACTACAGTCCCCAGGACTCCATAGCATTAAACCTAGGCAGTTAAAGCATTCATTCTACAACATTGATCAAGCATGGGCAAACTAGTGCCCAGTGGCTAGATGCAGCCCCCTGGGTGCTTACATCAGGCCCTCCTCATTTTCCCTGTCCTCTTGGCAGAAGGACATGATGACCCTCTGTGTCCTTATGCCAAAAAGAAGGGGGAAAAAGGCACATAGCAGTTGAGAGCCCTCTGGAGTGCTCTCAGCCACCATGTGTCTTTCCCTCCTCCTGGCATAAGGATGGCTCGAGGAAGACACATGGCAGCTGAGAGCCCACCAGAGCACTCTCAGCCACCTCCTGTCTTGCCTTTCTCCTGGCATAATGCCAAGATGTCACCCTGAGCATCGGGAGAGGAGGATTGGGGCAGTTGCTGCATGTACTGGCTTCCTCCCCGATTAAAGAATAAGGATGGGGCGATGCTGGAAGGAGAACCTGAGGATGACTCAGACCCTGCCCTGCCCTCTTCTGGCCCTGCCCTCTCCTAGACCCCCCCCCCCCCCCCCCCCCCCCCCCCCCAGGACTGCCCCAACCAGCATGTGCCTAGTCCCCCTCCCTCCTGGCCCGGCCCTTTCAGCCAGGCCTGCAGTGTGGCTCCAAGGCAAAAAAAAGTTTGCCCATGCCTCTAAGTTTTTCTTTTCCATTTCTGAAAACATTTGTGATGTAACACTTTTATTTTTAAAGAAGGAATTCT